AAATCATATTTACACAAGAACTGAGTGAGTCGTGTTTCCAACTCAAAATCGGGAGTACCCCTTGCGCGGTGCGAATGCACCATGCGTTGCAAAATAGAGCGACTGTACGGCCACCGCTTTATTTGTTTCTTAGGGCAACCAGCCCGCGAACGTTTAGCCAGCGGTGTTGCTGAAATTCATATGATAAAAATAACGAGAGTTTACGATCACCTCCCAGCCACTCAGAAGAAGGGAACACTCACCCCATAGGTCTGACGCAAATGCTTTCACTTGGAAGCTGAAAGTCAAAGTTTACTTTAGTCAGCAACAAGTGCATTGCCTCCCGGATTTGTTTTCCTTTGTTGTCTATGGTTTCACAATTTTCGAACTCATACGCGCTTGCAAGCCGTACCTGTTACTTCCGTTTTAAAACGGAATTGTTAAAAACGATACAACGACAATAAATATACATGTTCTAAAGCGCGCTTAGTTTCTGTTTGTTATTTTTTAATTACCTTTATTTCGTGCTTATATTTTAGACATTTCAGCCAAAAAATCACGACTTTTCTCTGGGGCAGAACAGAACCTCTTACGTGCAAAGACATTTCTAGAGAGACAGTTGAAATCTAACTCTTCGTCCAAACCTGGTTTGTATCCCCGTCAATAGACCCTTTTCAAAGAATCATCGAGCAATATTGGCGGTCGCCATTTATTCGGCACGAGGCTTGTGAATGGATACAAGTCCTCACTGCACGCTGACACAGCCCCTGTGTGCAGCACGCGCTCAGAGTACATGACAAAAGAACTGAGAAATCCAACACTTGGCGCAGCAGAGACTGTAGATGAAGCGTGATCTTCAAAAGGGTCCATGGACAAGTTAGTTTTGCAGGAATGCGGTCCTACGGGAATATTTACCTCACCATGTCCTCTAGGGCTGACTTTTATATCATACCAATGCATGGTCACGAAGAACGTTACAGAAACTTGTTAAACGGCCGCCAGACTTATCGCAACCTCCGATCTCACTAGAGTTAGGTAAGTGAATTTCAAACAGCAATGATCCCTTTCCTTAATTTTATTTTTTTATTTGTTTGTATTTCGCCGGGAGGTGGGATCGACTATAAAGCGTGATGCCTGACGAAGTCTCTGCGTTTTTGTTTTTTTTGTGTATTCTTTTACGTTTAGCTGGTAATTCCAATAATTATGAAGCAACTTGCTGAGCTTCAACCCGTACCGAGGTCTCTGCGCACTTAGCAATGTCAGCACGAGGGACTTCACATAATTTCTAGCCAAAATATAAATTTTACACACCATAAACAAATATAGTAAAGATGTGCATCAGATTCAGAATAAAAAAAAAGAAAATAACAATTGTTTTTAATGATTGATTGATCTAGTCAAATATACAATATATACAGGGTGGTCAAGTCGTCATTTGTGTCGCTCGCGCACCCTCCAGGACACTATATCGAAATTGTGACGTCACGATTGGAACTACGCTACACTACCAAGCGTTATTGGGGGCAGGACTTGCGGTGCTCTCTTTGGGTGCAATATTTAAATTCGGCTTTATAAAACGGTAATGTTGATCGATGGATATCTGCAATCGTGACATTACCCATAAAACCAGCGATTAGAAGTGGTAATTAACAATTTGAGGCCATTATTCAAGTTATTCTGACAATTGTCCCCAGGTATAACGTCCGCTAAGCCTGATAAATACATGGTGAAATCGGCACTCGCGTAATTCTGACCTTTTTTTTTTTCATTCATTGGAATTAAAATCAACCACCCTCCATTGAAAACCTCTAAATAACACGTAGAATCATGCTTATTAAGTATACGTATGACCCGTACGAAAAGAAGAGCAGAAAGCAACGTCAATGCCCACCAATGTTTCCAAGGCGCTTCGCCTTGGGGACATTTTTGCATTTGATCAAAGCGCTGTTGAAGTAGATTTGACCATCAATTTTGTTAAGGCTTTCAGAGACGAAACTTTATTTTATTTTTGTCTGCTTACCGTATTTCGTGTGTATTCTGGAAAGTCGTCTGATTCTGCGTTTGAATAGTATCATTATTTATATTACCTGGATGAATCAGAAAGCGCTTTCTGCTCTGTAGTATTTTGAGTAACATAAAATAATAGATTGTATTAGCCTTTAGTAGGTCGTATTTGCTGAACATTTTGTCAGTGGGAAGATCTTGGGCGCCTATTGTGATGACAATGTGGTCGCATTATTTTGCAGGTGTGAAAAGAGTATACTTAGTTTTCTTAACGTTCAGTTGTAATTGTTCATTTGAAGCCCAATCACCAGATGGCCAAGATGCATCTATCTGTCATAGATGCTGAGGACGCTTTGGGAGTTAAATAAAAGCTACGTTGGTATGGTCCTCGTACATGAGAAGCTCCAGAGATCTCACAACATAGTAGAACAAGGGCGTAAAAAGCTACGCATTTATATATACCCACCTCTAGATAGGAGCATATGTTTGGGAATCCCATCGAAAACACACAAATCCACAAAAAAAAAATTAGTATTTGAATGCGACACAAAATAATTAAACAATATAAAGTTTTATGTGTAAACCAATTGAGAGGAATATTTACGTGGAAAGAATAATTTCTGGCGTAGCAATCCAGAGGCAGACTGCTATATTAATACGTCGACCTTCGAAAGAGAAGTGTGTTTTGAAATGCTGCTTGAACACTCAACTCATAAAACAATTAAGTGCCTGGATGGGAAACTTATTTATCAATAAAATAAAGATATTCTATAACAATATTAAGTGCAATAGTGTGTCGTAAAATTGATTTTTAGTCGGGATGACTTCCCAAATGTGCTCCTATTTTGATCCCTTCACCACGGATCAGAGGCATGTTTGGGTTTTGGAAACGCTCAGATATGATCTTCGCAATCCACGTATTACACTAATATTTTTTTTTTTTGAGAGGTGTGTGTGGTAGACTTATTTTTATTCAAGCACCTAACCTTTCTTTTTATAGTTTAGTGTCCCTATTTTACTCTGAAAGCATAACGTATATGGGTTAAAAAATAACGTAAAATTCTGACATGAATTTGAGTAAAACGAAACAATTTATAATTACAACTTTTTTTATTATTATTGTCTGTAAAAAAACAATTACGTTTTTAGTGTTAAAAACGTTTAATTTTGTGAGGTAATATGACACACTCGGCAATTAGAACATCTGTAACAATACACAGGCCTACGTAATAAAATACTTCCAGAATGACACTATTGTTGTTTTTTTTTTTTGTATTTTCGGAAATACATTCGTAGAAAATATTTTACAAAGAAAATAATTTCACAGGAAAAGCTATTTAGCAACCATACTCAAATATTTTTCCGAAAAGGTAAAGTTAGTTCTCGTCCGTCTTGAGAAAAAAAAATATTCGCGTAGCAGTGCACATGCTATCTCACAGCTGCGGCAACGAAAACACTGACCGTACTGTTCGACGCTTTTAATCTTTTACAAAGGTTACCACAACATTTAAGCTAGAAAACACAATACATAATTCGCATCACCCGTTCTTTTTTTTTACACTCCTAGGCTGATATAAGAGGAGAGCAAGAATGCTCGATTCACGTAGACACAAGGTGACAAGCGCAGTAAGTAGACACTAGGAATCCTGGATAGTTTCTTTTACTGCTTGAATGTTTGTGCTGTCCGGTTCTTTATTGGCCACTCTAGAGAGCCTAGATTAAAGAGAGATTTCACCGTAAACCATGGTGAGCTAATGGCTGACACCTTCTGTGGCGATCGGTCACAACTGCACTTGCGCTGCGCTACTGCGTGGCGAGGAAAGCAGGCAGAAAGTCTAAGACGCTTGCAAACGATTGACGCTTCCGTCACCTGCTCGTAGCTCGATATTTGCAAATGCGGCCCATAAACCACCTGACAATGATCGATCAGTTGCAAACTCTCTGTAATACGGGTTCTATAGGGCGACCCCTGCAAAATCGCCGCACCTAGCGGCTGGAGCAGGAAGCCTTGACGGCGTGTTTACCGCACAGCCTTCTCGAGCGAAGGAGATATTCGCATCGCGTAGTGGTCAAAAGACGAAGCCGTGAAAGTAGGTTCAAAATATACGTGACAAAAATCGCTAATACTTTTTGCCAAAGACTGGAGTATATGGAGAGTATATTCGCCGAAAAACCGAGGAACTTTGACCTGCGCCAGGTTCGCATTGCGCGGGGCGTAGCAGCCACAGTCCTGGCACCACGCACAGAGCGAACGCTGCAAGCCGAAATTCGTTGATTTTTCGATCTAAGGAGGAAAGCCTGAAAAAAATTGTCCTCAGCAGTGGCAAAAGCACGATGTGGGATCGTAACGTTTTCGAAAGCTCATTGCATGCGCGAGCGCTCGCACATGCGAAAGCATTCTTTAGTGCCACCCTCATGCGCCCTTGCGCACTGAAGACAACCTGTGTGATGGTGCAAAGAGAGGCTTTCTTGCCAAACAAAAACAAACATAAATATTTTATATTTAATCCTCTAGCGAGGTCTATACTCTAGTTCGACTGACTCGTATATTTATGAAAGATCTATTTGGTATTAATATTAAAGTGTCCAAACGTCGAATGCGCGATAAATTTAGGCTAGCAAAAAGTTTTCTCCAAGATCTAAAAAATTCTGAAATTCGTTCCATCTGTCGAAAGATATAATTTTTATGTCTAGATGCTATTCAGAAGTACGAGCTTAAAAAGGAGGTATTTAGTACTGCAAGAACACCTTGCTACTTTATAGTTGTTTAGAGCACTTATCTGTATCTAAAACGAATGAAGTAGGGATGTTGAACTTTTTGAAGTAGACTAATAGCAATTGTTGTCTAGATATTGAAAGCGACATGATAGAAACTACGTTACGACTCTAAAATTATAGGTTTTCTAGTCAATGTGCATAGGTATTACAAGGATGGAGGTACCTATTTTCACAGTCGTGACATTTGTTATTTTTTTTCAGAAAGGCCAATCTGGTGAAGACCTTCACGTATTAACATAACGATAATTCAGATGTCTACCTTCATAATTATAACGGGTCTAGTGACATTTATTCATGGTAAACAAAAATCTATTTTTTATGGAGTTCTCTGCTGTTTGGTTTCACTACCGCTGGAGATAGTACGCCAGTGCCTCTAGATTGAGGCACTGGAGTTGTTTATCTTGAATTCATATTGCCGCGAGCAAGGCTGAGAAAGCAACGCTCGGTCACGGTCCTCCAGAAAGTTCCCGTTTATTCATGTGCCACACGTAACTTCTATCATTCATCCCTGCTTTTGTTTTCTAGAAAGTGCGTGTTCATTCTCGCCCCGATCACGCGACGCTCGAACCGCTTTCGCCGAATCTTCGAGATAGCGACACACTCTAGATAAGAGGCCGCCCGCGACCTTGTCGAGTCAGTCTCGCCCCAGCGCTCGATCCTGCTCTTCGCCGATTTCGACGCCCGCGACGCTTTGTTATTATCTTTTGTACTCTTTTATTTTTGGCACAAGTTCGCCACATTAAACGTTTATTTCTTCCTGTTCATCTATTGTTTTTTTGGTCACCACCCGTGACAATATCTAATAAAAAGCTGCCGGGCAGACTAAAGTCTGGGCATTCGGAAAATCTGTTTAGTATTGGAAGTGCGAAAATAAACGCCCGAGCTTCCCTGTAAGCTGACGTGATACATAATTCAAATGTCACTGTGTTTTATCTTGTCCGGCGGAAACAAAAAAAACTTAACACTGTTGTTTTTTTTTGTTAGAATATGTTTTTTTGTTAACGATCAGCCTATTGTCCAAAAGAACAATTATGTCTTCAGGCATTTGAATATTTTTAACTGGCTATCACAGCTGATATTCTTATCATCAGAATTAAATGCGAGCAATCTAGAGACGTGAAAATCTTTCTATTATTGAGCTTGGCAGAATCTTATCAGTTAATTTCTTTGTTGTAAAACTAAACCTAACAATCTCTTTTACGTGACTTGTGAGCAATCACAAGCACCTAATTTGTATGTTCATAAAGTTGAAGCCTGGGCAAGTTGGTATGACATACTTAAAAGGTTAAAACAGCGCAAAAAGCGACAGACAAGGTAAAGAAGGACACATACAGAGCGCTGTCTGTGTCCTTCTTTACCCTGTCAGTCGTTTTTACGCTGTTTTAACCTTTTAAGTATTGTATGTTCAATAAACGCTAGCCATGTATACGGCAGTTTGTGTATTTGAAAAATTTTTAATTGAAGACTTATTGACGCAACTATCTAATTATCTTCCTCGTGTATTCTGGAACAAATTCGATTAGTATACCGATTAAGAGTTTCTAAGTCATCACCCTTTAATACGAGCATGCTGACCCGACTTTCTGAACTTGCAATAATGTCTTCAAATGCTCAATAATCTCAGCAGATAAAGAATACATTCATATTATTTGCTTGATTGTATCATGTCTTTATCCGTACTAGCATCGACTTCTCCAGCCTTTTATTCTTCACGGAATTTTTGTGTTTCTTATTGCTTTCTCTCTTTTTTTCCTTTTTTTTCCTTTCTTTATTTTCTATTTTACTTTTTTTTTATTTTCTCGTTATAAATAATGCCATTTTTTATATTGGTGCATAAGTGGAATCAAAAGTATTTTAGCGTCTGCTACACGGTAAACTTTGCGAGGAGTTAAAGTATGCAAGCGAGTTGGTTAGTAAGCATTGTAATATAAACCCTGAGATAAGGAGAGTTCACCTTGTACATTATTTTATTTATCCTTGTCTCAGCGTTTAGACTATGACGGTAGCCTTGCGGTTTATACCAGAACTTCGCAAAATCGTAGGAATTTTACTTCAAGTAGCTCTTAGAGCCGCTTGTCGAATTTTGGGCGCACAATAAAGCATTTTGTTGCCGACACAACAGCCCTTCGCGTCAAAACTTCGTCGGCGGCATATCAAAACGTTCTGCTCGTAGCGCAATCCAAAAAATTTCGCACATAGGTGAACGTCATCATCGTGAGCCTAGCTCGTTTTTCTAAGTTCACATGTAAAAAACTTGGTGCCCTTTTTGAAAATTTGGTTCATGTCGGCGCATGTCTGGGCAGTTAATGGCATCCTACGCCTTGGTGTCAACCACCGGCATGGTGCGGGTCCCATCCTTCACTAGCGTGAAGTCACGTACAACGCATGTATAGAAAACTGACAGGGGATCAGCTGCGAAACATCGCCAATAACGACTACCGCCACGAAAAAAAAAATTTAAAACACCTAGCTAAACAATCACACAACACGCCTGGGCGATGCAGCACATGAAGGTCACACATATCACCTTGTCGGAACAACAGTTAGTGTGCAGGTGAGCTGGGGATAATGATAAATAATAATTTAACACCCGAAACTGTGGCGCGGGAAAATTAAGAAATACCTCGGAAATTCTTAATTAAAAAAAGAAACTTTTAGAAAAACTTTTGTCTTAAAATATCGTTTTTTGTTTGTAGTTCTGAGGCCACTTAGTATCTCTTCGATCTGTTTTTTTTTCTGTTTCGGAATCTATTCTTGGCTGTATGACTGTTCATTGAAAAACAAATTCGAAGCAGGTGAAATGGTAGCAGGGCAATATGTCCACCAGGGCAAGTCGTCATACGGAAATTCGTCCTTATGACAATTCGTCACACGAATGGGCGAGATAAGTTGTTTCAGTTTCTAATTTATGAAACATATTGCTAGAATGCTTCAAATTATATTTCAAAACATAAATATCATATCCACAAAATACGTGAGCTCCGTACCCGTGCTGAAATGAGTAAGAGGTATATTCTATCAAGGAATATAACGCCTTGCCTAGTGAGATTGTTTGTACCGCAAATGCGGAAACGTTTTTTCTTCATGTTCGTTTGCCCCCTGCATGAATGCCTGATACTGGCGCTGCAGGCTGAAAATCAACAAAGAATAAAGATAATAAAAGCGACCAAAATTAACACCTAATCCAAGCAGTAACAAGCACTCCCGAAAGTGTTTGAATAAAAAACAAAAACGGGGAAAACCGGCCGCAGACACAAACCTAAAGAATGCGGGCAACAAATAGTCTTCAACGTTCTTTCAGCTTTTCAGCACAATAAAGCATCGTAAACTTCCTAAAGAATCAACACGTTATCTAAAAAAAAAAAAGCGATTGGTGGTTTTGGGTTTAAAAAGTAGACGTCCAACAAAAATGACTTCGAAATTTATCTTCTTCGTGTCGAAGCCAGCTCGACGAAAGCCAACACGTCGAAGTGCGATTCGTCAAATAGGCGAATTCGTAATAGGGTAACTCCTCGAGGGAGACTTCGTCGAAGACGCTTTCCTGCCGCCACTTTTTTCAGAGAGAGAGAAAAAGAGCGATAGGAAAAACACACTTTATTCAACGACTAAAGTTCGAGCCGTTTTTAATTTTCATCAAAGGATGAGGGCGCGCTGTGTTCGTCCTTCGTGGAGTCTGTGTGTTTGGCGTCCGAGGACGGAGTTATTTTTTCAATGCGGGCGACGAGGAGGGTCCACAGGAGGCTTGGGGATCTTTTGGGGGATCGGCCCAGCTCGCCCAGGAATAGGAGCTGAGCTATTGACTAAAAGTGGAAGAAGGGAGAGAAAGAGACGAGCGAGGAAGGTTGAGGCCCTGGGACAGGATCAGTATATGTGTGCATTGGAGGGGTAGCCTCCGCAGTTATTGCAGGTGGGGCGACCAGATCGGCGCGGTATGAAGTGTATATAGTGCTCAGTAGCAAGAGAAGAGGATTGTGCTTGCCAGATGATAGAGGCCTCCTCTTTGGAATGGGACCAGGAAGGGAGGGGGGCTTGCGGCGTGGGGACTTAAAGCTGGCGATGTGTGCAGTTCGTTCCTTTTAATGTTGGGAGTGGTCATCGTGGGGACAGTATCGTTCCGGCCAGGGTGTTGGGGGGTTCGGAGGTTTGCTGTCGCGTGTCAGAACGTGAGCTCGCTCGTTCCCCTAAATGTCTTGGTGGCGGGGGCCCATTCTAGACGAACTCTAAGTTGCGGATGGGTTAGCATGTATTCTTGGAGGGTGTGTAGTCAGTGCTTGCGCCTCCAAGCTGCGGAGAATTTCCTAGACTGTCCGTCCGCACCAGGCACATATCCAGGGGGGAGGGGGGGGGGGGGTGGCACTCTCCGAAATCTTCCGTTCTGTTGGGGCCTCCTTTCCCCCCTTCCCCTCATACAGCATTTTGTCATGGGTGCCCCGCCCCGAATCAAAATCCTGCCTCCTTGCCTGGTCCGCACAGTGGTGGTTGCCGTGGTGTGTTGGTGGAGGATGATTGCTTCCAAGATGGTTTGTGTCTCCGGCCCCGCTACTGAAGGAACACCGGAATTATTCCTCATGGAGGCTTCACCCCGGGGTCCGACCGTCGCCGTCACGCCCTTGTCGTCAATGGCTTGATCGTCAATATAATAGGTGTTATGCATCGGTTCATGGAGATGGTCCGCCTTGTCTTGCCTGCGATGCGCGTCTGTAGCGCAAGCCATGTTGCGGGATGTAGGGTCAACGACGAGACGTGGAATGCCGTCCTATGGAGGTGGAGTCGGGGAAATGGGGGCCGGATGGTCTGTAGATTTCCCTAGCAGACGGAGGATGGCTCTTCCATGTGCGGAGGTTGTGAGCATACCTCGGCAAACCTCACTCATGAGGGCCCTCACTCACCCTCACTCACCCTCATCTTCACAGTTGAGGTGAGGGTGAGTGAGTTTCTGAACCAGGAAAATTCATGAGTGTGAGGGTGAGTGAGGGCTGTGAGGGCGGTGAGGGCCGTGAGGGCTGTGAGGGCCGTGAGGGCTGTGAGGGCGGTGAGGGCGGTGAGGGCCGTGAGGGCAGTGAGGGCCGTGAGGGCCGTGAGGGCGGTGAGGGTCATGAGTGCGTGAGGGGCGTGAGGGCGGTGAGTGGCGTGAGGGCCATGAGTGCGTGAGTGGTGTGAGGGCGGTGAGTGCGTGAGGGGTGTGAGGGCCATGAGTGCGTGAGGGCAGTGAGTGGCATGAGAGGCGTGAGGGCCGTGAGGGCCGTGAGGGCGGTGAGTGCATGAGGTGTGTGAGGGCCATGAGTGCGTGAGGGCGG